AGAAGCTTGTAAAAGCTGAAAGAAAATTCATTGAAGATAGAGTTAAAAAAATAATAGAACTGAAAAAGAAAGTCTGTGGTGATTCAGATAAAGGATTCGTGGTTATTAATCAAAAGGTGAGAATGAAGTTTTACTTTATAAATGAGCCTGTATCATTCATTGTTATTTTTAAGGTGACTTCTATTAAAACTAACTTGTTTTTGACACAGGGAATTGACCCCTTTTCCTTAGATGCTCTTGCAAAAGAAGGCATAGTAGCTCTGCGGAGGGCTAAAAGGAGAAATATGGAAAGGTACAGATACCAGATTATCTTGGTGATGTAAATTTTACTTATTTTGCAAGTTAACTGGGATTGCTTTTTCTCCTGTAATTACATTTTTCCTTTTTTTATTGTGATAAAATACACATAATATAAAACTTAACATTTTACTCATTTTTTCTAATTACAATCCAGTGGCATTAAATTGCATTCACGTTATCGTGCAGCCATTACATCATTCATCTCTAGAACTTTTCCATCTTCCCAAACTGAAATTCTACTCATTAAATAATAACTTTGTTTCTCCCACTCCTGGTAAATACTATTCTACTTTGTCTCTAAATTCAGTACCTCCTGTAAGGGAATCATGCAGTATTTGTCCTTTTGTGTCTGGCTTCTTCACTTAGCATGAGAGTTTCAAAGTTCATCCATGTTGTATAGCATATGTTAGAATCTCATTTCCCTTTCAAGGATGAACAATACTCCATTGTATGAATATATCACGTTTTATTTATACATTTATCAGTGGACATTTGAGTTTCTTCCTCAAATGTCCTGTTGTGAATAATGCTCTTGTGAATAATGCTGCTGTGAACTTTGGTATATGCTTGTTTTAATTTTAAGCCACGAAACGTGTATGTATGTAACCATGTCGAGAGACAGCATCAAGGGGTTTCAAAGAACTACTTTTTCCTCAGAGCTCACCACAGTAAAGAGCTCTTGTTCGCCTTTAGATTTCTTATCAAAGGAGTATTTCCTAACTTTGAAAGCCTGGTTTAAATGGTGAATTAGGAGAAAAGACTGGTTTTTAGCTGGTTGGTGGTGAATGAAAAGGCTTGAGTTAAAATACATTTCAGAATATCTAATTTCGGTATGTAGTTCTGAAAGATCACTTCCTAAAAATTATTAATCTCTTCAAACATAACAAAGCCACTTACAGGTCTCCCTTAAAACACTTCGAATATTTCAGGCTGACTCTTGCTTGTGGTGGAGTAGCTCTAAATTCTTTTGATGACCTAAATCCTGATTGTTTGGGACATGCAGGACTTGTCTATGAATATACATTGGTGAGTGTATTTTCTTTCTGAAGATGATAATACAATGATGTTTCGTTCATGAATTCATTCAAACCCAGAATCATATTTTTGATTGGTTTCCATACATTTTGATGCTTATGTATAGTAATGATAAGCCATTGATGGGAAAAGTCACATTTCTTTTATATGAAGTAGTTTATTTGCTTTAATGTGATTGGTATGTTGTTTTCTTATTAATAAACTACTTATTCTTCCATAAGCCCCTCTTCATTCTTTGTATAACCATATCCTGTTTTTGAAAATATCTTTTTCACATAGGGAGAAGAGAAATTCACCTTTATTGAGAAATGTAACAACCCTCGCTCTGTCACATTATTGGTCAAAGGACCAAATAAGCACACACTCACTCAAATCAAAGATGCAATAAGAGATGGCTTGAGGGCTGTTAAAAATGCTATTGATGATGGTAAGATCCTTATTGTATATTCTTTTGCTAGTGTGAAAGGCATGGCTGAATACTGTGTTCTTTTTATCAGTAATTTACACAGCCAGACACCATGCAAAAGTAAAGTCTTCCCTTTAAAATGCCTGTGATGGTATGCGAGGCTTTTTTATAGCATATCGTGATTAAAAGTGGATACAAATAAATGAACTAATGTTAAGACCTTGCAAGAGCTTCCAAGTACTAGTTAAATTGGGCCATTTTGCTATTTGATGTGTTGCTTGTATTGCTTTCAAGTGTAGTATTAACACTGTGGTGGTTATGCCGAATTCTCAAGAAATGGATGGCTTTTGTGTGTGTTTTAATTTTCTTAAAAATGATTCTACAGTTTTGTTTTCTCTGCAACTTAGCATTTCTCTCCGTCCCCCCGCCCCCAACAGGCTGTGTAGTTCCAGGTGCTGGTGCGGTGGAAGTGGCAATGGCAGAAGCCTTGATTAAATATAAGCCCAGTGTAAAGGGCAGGGCCCAGCTTGGAGTGCAAGCATTTGCTGATGCGTTGCTCATTATTCCCAAGGTATGAATACTTGAACAGTTTTCTTAACTACATCAAAATGATTTAGCTGATGGAAGCTTTTTGATAATGGCATTTTTATAATGTAGACTTTGAGTAAACAAGTTTTATTCATTTTCTCCCTAACATAACTAGAGCCGGGTATCTCTTATCCAAATGTATTCGGTTCCTGTGGAAGGGAGTTGAATAACTGAAGTTTCAGATGGCAGGAGATAAGAGTTTGCAGTGTAGGAGTTATACTAGAGTACAAGCTTGCTCTTTTGTTTTCTCTTGTATGCTATTTTAGGGATATAGTTTATGACCAGTGTATTGCTGGGCTTGGGGTGGGTTAATGAGTTGGTTAGTAACAAATGTTCTATTTAGTTATTCTCTGATATGAACATAAATACTGGTCTATCTTAAGGGGTTTTTGTTTTGTTTTGTTTTTACTAATTGGAATTATGGTTCTTATCACTTCTTAGGGTTCTGTCTTTTAAAGGATTAAATTTGTTTGTTTAGGTTCTTGCTCAGAATTCTGGTTTTGACCTTCAAGAAACACTAGTTAAAGTTCAAGCAGAACATTCAGAATCAGGTCAACTTGTAGGTGTGGACTTGAACACAGGTAAGAGAACACAGCTATTTGTAGGGGGAGAACTAGATTCAGGTGAGGTAAAATCAGGGAGGATAAAAAATGGAAACAAAAGAATGTTGGAGAAAAGTAGAGTGGAAGAAAGATAACAGAATCCTGCAGTATTTGTAAGACCTGTTACTGTCAACAGCATCATACATTCACATTAGTAGAAACGGTTTCTGGAATGAGGGACATTGGTAGGCCCATTTTGGCCAGTTCAAGTGCTCTACTTTAATATGAACAAACAAGAATGCATCTGGAAAAATAGAGATGTTCAAACATTTGGTAACCAAATAGCACATTACTATTACTGGATGTCTTCTGAGTAGAGATCGTAGTTTGGAGCAAAATTGGACTAATTGAGGAACTTTGGATAATGAGAATAATCAGTGATGAGCAAATCACAAAATACTCTGTTTTATTTGCATTCTGATCTTCCAACTTTCTGTGTGTGATTTTAAGAATACTGGGTTACTTTACAGGTGAGCCAATGGTAGCTGCTGAAGTAGGCATATGGGATAACTATTGTGTAAAGAAACAGCTTCTTCACTCCTGGTAAGTTTGAGACAGCCAAAACTAAAATAACCTCTAGAGAATCCTCATACTCTTACTTGGTATGTTTAATTACGTGGGGTTTTTTGTTTTTGTTTTCATAAAAATGTAATCATCTGAAAGTATAAAAACTAAACTAGCCTTCTATATTTTTGAGGGGAAAGGAGAAACTTAATTGGATATAATTTGTGCAGTTTGGGGTTCATATGTCACATCTGAGCCATCTGATCTTTCCGTCCCCTTTCAGCACTGTGATTGCCACCAACATTCTCCTGGTTGATGAGATCATGCGAGCTGGAATGTCTTCTCTAAAAGGTTGAATTGAAGCTTCCCTTGTGTCATCTGTATCATGAAGACTACAGAGTGATCCTAAGAATATAGCCATGGAATTTTCGTCCAAGCTTCAAATGATTTTCAAAAGCATTTTCCTTTCCCATACAAAAAAAAGAACACTGACACTCAAATTTTGAAGTTCTGAAATTATAATTACAGTATTTTTTTAAATTTCACTGCAGTGTACACCATTAAGCAGGCTGTTTTCACCCAGTGAACAGGATGTTTTGCTTTAGCTTCCATGATCTAAAAGTACCGTGTTAGACAAGTGTGTTACCTACCTTGTTATTAAATGTTCCTTGAAAAGCAAATTTAATGGTTTAATAATTTCTTCTAATTGATGTATTTTAATATATCTACTAGTTCTCCACTGTCAGGCTTGTAGGTTTTTATGCAAATATAAATAATACTTAAAGTAACTTAAGATTTTGAAAGCATCCCTGTTTCTTTAGTATTAATTCCTGAGTAAAACTGTTGGAATCATTTGTTTGGACTTTTAATGCTTTTAAGTACTTTTGCTAAAATGCTCCCCAGGAAAGTTGTACTGGGCAGAAAGATGGGTGAAGTAGAGGCAAGGGAGTTGATCATTATATATAAATAAACTGAAAGTATGAAGAGAGGAAACTAGAAATAGAGGAGACAGAGGGAAAAACACCCTTAAAGGCATGGGGGCTAAGGGAAAGGAGATTTTCGCATGGACCATATTTTCACACCCCTGTCTGTACCTGTGCTTATGCTGAAAGACCTGCCCGACCATTCCAAACTCTGTAGTGTCGTCTTTCACCCAAGTTACTGTTCTCTCCCACCTGCTTCCACAAAATTGTTTTTACAGTTGGTAGATCTCATTCACAGCCCTTGAGAGTGAAGTTGTGTGCTGCAAAGCTTTGTGTTTTTGAGGACTTGGCAGTTGCCTACGGTGTGCAATAAATACTAAATTGAAACCTTTTCTGTGATCTTGAAATGGTATTCCAGGGCCCAAAAGGAATTTGAATATAAATGGGTAGAAAGTCTGTGGAAATGTTCTGTTCACAGTGTAATGGAGGAGCTTGTGGAACGCCAGGGCCCCTGGACACTAATCTCTTTGGCTCCACAAGTTCCATACCCAGCCGCAGCCTGGGACTAACCAAGCCCTTTTGACCAAAGGGAGTTGTGAGGGAAACGCTAAGGAGGCGTTGCGAGCGATACGGTGGCCGAAGCGGTGCACGCAGGGCGCAGGCGCAGAAGGGCTTTACGGTGCGGCGTGCTTCTCGTGTTACCGGCATGGGCCCCTCGCCACCGCTGCTGATTCTGCCGCTGCTCCTGTCTGGCCCGTGGCTCGAGCTAGGTCAGTGTGCTGGCCTGTCCCCTGACCCTGTGTGCCCCAGGAAACATCAGGGAAGGGGTGGGTGCCCTGCCAGGTCGGGAAAGAGACCGTGGCCCCTCCGCCCGCTTCCGGGATGGGCTTGGAGCAGCCAGAGGCAGCCAACTTGGCAAGATGGTTAATGTTCATATCCTATCTAACTGCTTTTTCACTTTTAATTTATTTTGGAATCTTTCGAACATAGTGTAAAAGAATATAAAAACACCTCCTCCTATGAACCGGTAACCCAGCTTAAAAACAGGCGCCAGTTTATAACTAATCTTGCTATTTTGGTATATCACACTTTCTCCTTCCCTGGGGCCTTTTTGAAGTGAATCCAGACACGACACAATTTTATTTGTAAATACACAGCATGAATAGCCAAAAAGACAAGAAGTCATAAAAAAAAACCCACCATACTCTTTCTCTACCTTAAAAAACTAACAGTTGTCATTAATATCCTTAAACATACAGTTAGTGTTTTCAAATTCATCTACTGTGTTTGTTATAGTTTATTTACTGAGTTAATGTCAGAGTTCATACATTGCAGTTATATGTTGTTTCTTAATTCCCTTTTAATCTGAGATTTCCCTGTAAAATTTTTTTTCTCCCTTGAAGTAGATGAAATCATCAGTGTGTGTCAGAATGAGAATAAGAAGGCTAAAGACAGAGAAACATGAAAAAATGGTAGACTCGGCCATTGAGGAACTTATAATTCTTAGACATCCTTAGGCAGAAACATAACACCCCAAAGTGTGAAGACAAGTGTAGCAGGTTGGAAATAGTGCTGACCTGGAAGTAAGGAGACCTGGATCTAGTGCTGTCCCTGCTAACTAGTTCTTTAAGTGGTTTCTCTTTTTTGGGTCTTGGTTTTTTCCTGTTAAATAAGGGGGTTGAATTAAAGATCCTTTTGAGGCGCCTGGGTGGCTCAGTCGGATCGTGGGTTCGAGCCCCGTATTGGACTCTGTGCTGACAGCTGAGAGCCTGGAGCCTGCTTTAGATTCTGTGTCTCCCTCTCTCTCTCTGCCCTACCTCCACTCGTGCTCTCAGTCTCTCAACAACAACAACAAAAAAAGTTAAAAAAATAAATAATAGGGGCGCCTGGGTGGCGCAGTCGGTTAAGCGTCCGACTTCAGCCAGGTCACGATCTCGCGGTCCGTGAGTTCGAGCCCCGCGTCGGGCTCTGGGCTGATGGCTCAGAGCCTGGAGCCTGTTTCCGATTCTGTGTCTCCCTCTCTCTCTGCCCCTCCCCCGTTCATGCTCTGTCTCTCTCTGTCCCAAAAATAAATAAAAAATAAATAAAATAAAATAAAAAATAAATAATAAAGATATTTCTAATTCTGATTTTCTGAGGTGTTCAAACAGTAGATATGAAGGACCTCATTCAGTTATTTGCTAATTATCGTGCTCTTATGCTAGATGCCAGGAATACACTGGCAAAATAAATGTAGTCCTTTTCTTTCTGGAGCATATGATATAATAGTGAAAATCATTCAGAAATGGGGAGGAAGAGGCAGAGAAACAACTTGAGCAGAAGTGTGGGTAGAGATGTGCTAGATGTATTTCAGGGTATAGTGTCTAGATTTACCTAGCTGGGACAAAGAGTTGTGTACAGTAATAGAGCAGTAAGAAAGAAAATAAACATTTGTTGAATAATTACAATGCACTCACAACGTTTCACACATGTTAATTTTAATTCATACAGCCACACCTATGAAATAGCTAGATGTTATCTCCATCTTGTAGGTGAAGAAACCAAAACTCAGACTGACTTATTTGCCTAAGGTCACCCAACAAATTAAGTGGCAGAACAAGAATTTAAAGCCAAATTTTTAAGCTGCCTTTTTTTTTCATTACATCATTATGAATATTACGTATGATCCAAATATTGTCACTTGTTTTATATATATTCATGTATTACTGATGATGCTCCTTTTTCTCTGCAGGGAATGGGCAGGCTACTAGCATGGTCCAGCTACCAGGTGGGAGATTCCAGATGGGAACAAATTCACCAGATGGCAGAGATGGTGAAGGGCCTGTCCGGGAGGTGACAGTAAAACCCTTTGCCATTGATATATTTCCTGTCACCAACAAAGATTTCAGGTACATCAGGTATTCTAAGAGCAGTAAAGGCTCTTTCTGATTTTCGTTCCTGATAGCTAAAAGCAAACTAGCTTGTTCACTATTACATATCATCTTTGCAATAGTAATATGGGATAAGTGCTGTCTCCATTTTTCAGGTGAAGAATCTGAAGTCTGGAGACTCTGTTTACGGCAGAGCTGGACCTGGAACTCAAACCCTCTGACCCTTGAGCCAGTGGATTTTCCATTACACTGGATATAACACTGAGAAATAGGGGCAGAAGTCAAACACTTAACAAAAACCTCTTCCACAGGGAAAAGGGATTGGGAGAAGGGTCATAGTAGCTGGGAGTCTTTAAATATCCTTTATATTTACTTATGGAACTGGCATTGTTTTAGGACAAGCATTGTGATTCCAACTCAATCTAGGAAGCCTTGTTGAGCCGCCTCACTTTCCTCAAGGTGGTATGTTTTGCAAAGGCTAAAGTGGGGAATGATCCAGGTGATACCTGTAACTTACCTTCAAATGATACAGGGGGAATATAGAGAGAGAGGAGTGGGAAAAGGAAGAGGAGGGAACAGGAAGACAAAGCAAATGTGGGAAATGACTTATATGTTGCATTGTGGCCTTAAAACTCTTTAAGATAAAAATTTACGGGGAAAAATTTACTCAAGAGACAGAGTAAGCATAACAATTATTAGTGTATTTGTGGCACCTGGGTGGCTCAGTCAGTTAAGTGTCCGACTTCGCTCAGGTCATGGTCCCACAGTTCATGAGTTTGAGCCCCGCGTTGGGCTCTGTGCTGACAGCTTGGAGCCTGGAGCCTGCTTTGGATTCTGTGTCTCCCTCTCTCTCTGCCCCTCACCCGCTCACACTCTGTCTCTCTCTGTCTCTCAAACATAGATAAACATTAAAAAAATTAAAAAAAAAAAGAACTGGGAGATGCAGCATTGTGTTAGTTTACAGATTTTGCCCATGTTTTTGTGACTTCCAAATGAAAATAATTCCAGGGAAGCACCTTATTAAAGGTATTTAAAAATCCTTCCTGGGAGGGGGAGGGGGCAGGACAGGGAACACTATGTAAGGGATATATATATATATATATATATATATCTATATATCTATATCTATATCTATATCTATCTATCTTAGTTGGTCTGATAATGGATGATTTCAGTTTTTTTTCTTTTCATATACTTATGCTTTCTCATTTTTCTATAATACAATATGCATTACACATACGTGCTTTTTTGTTAAGTATTTATTTATATTGAGAGTGAGAGAGAGAATGAGTGCAAGGGAGAAGAAGAGAAAGGCGGGGAGAGAGACAGTTCCAAGCAGGCTGCATACAGCTGGTGCGGGGTTCGAACTCACGAACTGTAAGATCATGACTTGAGCCGAAACCAAGAGTCAGACGCTTAACTGACTGAGCCAACCAGCACTCCATGCTTATATGTGCTTTTTAAAAGTATTTTTAAACAGGAAAGTTACTAAAATTGAAGGAGAAATCACTTTTGATCAGGTTTGCACCACATCATGACAACCAGAAATAGCTAGTTAGATAGATGAACAGTGTGTGTTCTTTTATATTTCAAATTATGACATTTATTTATTTATTTATTTATTTATTATTTTTAATGACCTATTTTATGATAGACCTCTGGCAAGCCCCTAAACTTTGCTTAGAACCCCCCATGATTTGTCTCTGCCTCTCTGGTGAAAGATTTTCAAACTACTCAGATGCTCTGAGGTTGGTGAATAGCTGTTGCTACCACATCTGATCACCTCCTCCATTCTCAATGCCCCTTTCATGGGTGAACAATGTCTCCTCATGTCAGAGGGCTGGCACAGACGGGGTACTATTAGCCCAGTGAAAACAATCCATCTTACCCTGGAAATTTTACGTGCTAAAATTTGCTAAACCATACCAAACTGTGTGAAAATCCATTCTAAAATTTCAGTACATCATTTTTATTTGATTCCGTTTTTTTTTCATTTGTTAGATGGAGATAATCACGTTCTGCCTCCCTCGCATGATCGTTGTGAGAGTGGGGATGTGATGAAGACCTTTCAGAAAACAGACCTGTTCCCCACCCTTAAATATTCTCAGCAGTTTTATTCATAATCTCCAAAAGCTGGAGATAACCCAAATGACCTGCAAGTGGTGAATAGATAAGCAAAATACAGAACCTCCACACAATAAAATGGTACTCTGTAAACAGAGGAACAAACTAATACTGGCAACAACGTGGGTGATTCTCAGAAGCATTATGCTAAATGGAAGAAGCCAGACTCTAAAGCTATATACTGTATGATTTGATGTATGTGAATTTATATTCTGGGAAAGGCAAAACTATAGGGACAAAAAGCAGCAATGGTTGCAGAGGAAATGAGGGAATTTTTGGAGGTGGTTGATAAACTTGCTCTATATCTTGATTGTGATAATGACTATAAGTTTTGTCAAAACTCACAAAACTGCACTAAAAGAGTGAATTTTACTCTACGTGAATTACACATACAGCAACAGATTTTAAAGGAAAATCTCCTACTCAGACTTCAATGTCAATTCCTTGTTGTTGACGGAAACTCTGTGATGTGTGACTTAAAGGTGAAGGATATATGAGGTTTTCTGGAGCAGGAGGGGACAGTGGGACCTGGAACTGTAGCAGCTTAACCAAGTGAAATATCTCTCTTTTCAGGGAATTTGTCAGGGAAAAAAAGTACCGGACAGAGGCTGAGAAGTTTGGGTGGAGTTTTGTCTTTGAGGACTTTGTCTCGGATGAGCTTAGAAACAAAGTGGCCCATCAGATGGAGGTGAGAGAACCTGGACTTTCAGCTGAAGGAGTGGGCCCTGGACAGAGAATCCTGTGGGTTATGGGGTCACCTGGGCCATAAGAGAGAATCACCCCTGAGAGCCGCAGGCAGGGAGGAAGCAAGAGAGATCCTCCCTGGAAGAGTCAGATGAACACGTACTCCCGAGACGTTAACCTTGTGCTGGTTTCTGCCTAGAGAGACTTTGTAAAAAGTCTGGTGATCTGGTCACATGTAGGGTTCAAGTTACTCCATGAACTGACAAAAGAACATCTCAACATCCCCTCCAATAACGGTCATGAGATGTCCTGCTTTAAAGGTTCCAGAAACAGCCCTACTTGGACCACCCGAGTCTCAGCCTAAAGTGTCTGCTCTGCCTCCTGTGTGTCAGTCAGGAAGGTGACCTTGCTGGGTCAGAGCATCTTGCAGTCATGCCTTTTCCTTTTTTTGCAGTCTGTTCTCTGGTGGCTTCCAGTGGAAAGGGCATTCTGGAGACAGGTAAGAGTTGGTTCCTCTGCCTTGTTTTCTGCCCCTGTTGACTCTTATTCTGGAGGCCTGGCTTCCCTAGACCCGTTGCCCATCTAGAAATATGGAATTAAAAAGAATGACCATAAATTTTGAGGACACAGCCAAGCAACCCTATTTCCTGTGCCCTGATCTTTTTTCCCATCGCCCATCCCACTTTTCCGTTTCTGACTCTGGGCCTCTCCGCGCTCACCAGGCTGTCTCCTCCAACTTCCTTGCTCCATCTAGTGGTAAAAGCTGAACTCAGCCACCTTAAGCCTAGCCTTCCTCAGACTTCCATGAGCTCCCAGAAGTCTGTCTCACTTCATCCTGGCTGTCAGCCTGCAGGTCCTGGCTCTGGCATCCGAGAGAGACTGGAGCTCCCAGTGGTACACGTGAGCTGGAATGACGCTCGTGCCTACTGTGCTTGGCGGGGGAAACGGCTGCCCACCGAGGAAGAGTGGGAGTTTGCTGCCCGAGGGGGCTTGACGGGTATAGAGTCGGCAGCGCGACTCCCCTTTATTCTTCTCCCATACTACCCTGCATGGGGGGCTTTGAAGGGTGGGACGGGTCCATACTCCCGAGAGCAGTCTTCTAAACTGTGTGGCAAAGGGCCGGTGTTCCTGTTTTCAATTCTCATCCATCTCACACCCATACTAATGTACAATGCCATAAAAATTACTAAGTGGAAAAATGGAATGAAGGAACAGACAGAAAATTTGTCATTTTTGGAGATTGCACCCAGACATGTTACATTTCAGTAAATGATCAGAACACCATAGCATAGGGGGAAAGAAAAGCACTACCTAGACTGCCTTTTCCATAGGTGTAAAGGGACTAAAGAATCACTATTTGCTCATAACTCTGTTGTTCTGCAATCCCACCTAAACAAAAAGTTAGGAGCAGGAAGCAGCAACTCCCCGTGTTCAACACCTCTGCTACTCTTTGAATGAACACCAGCTATCCCAGTAGTCAAAATTATTAATGTGACTAATAAGGTTGCTTGTTTGTTTATCCAATTTAAGTCTAGTTGACAAGTTTCTTCATTCTTACCCCCAATTTCTGTACTTAATCTAGACATGATCCAGTAACAGTTTACAGACTGGCATGAGTCAGGACCACAATTGGGATTGCACTGTCCTGGAGCAGATCAGGAGGCCAGGGGCTCTGAGTGCAGTACAGTGAGGGGAAGGGACAGGCCTGGGAAATAAAAGTAATCTCTCTCTTCTTTTCCCATCACCTTCTGACTTCCTTTTGGTTCCCTCACTATTTCTGTCTTTCCCTTGTTCCACAACCCTTCACCTCTCCCACGCCTGCTATCTCCTTGCTCTCTTGGCAGGTCAGGTTTATCCATGGGGAAACCAGTTCCAGCCAAACCGCACCAACCTGTGGCAGGTAAGGCATACATTCCTCACCCCTCTCCCTTCTCAAAGCCTTGATCGAAACCTGCTGTAGGCTAGGCGGCACATTGGGCTGTGGGACTCAGAGGGCTTTGTGTTCTAATGGGACTGATAAACTACCAAACTGCTAAAGCAAAAGACAGTGTGGTAGGGCTACATACTGAAGAGTTGCAAGAGTAGATGACTGCCTGAGAGAGCTGGGGGTGACTTCACAGAGAAGATGACATTGAACCTGATGGAGATTGGAATTTGCCAAGTGAAAAGTGTAGGAAAGGGCACTATCAGCTGAAGGAACAACATGAGTGTAAGCATTGTATTAGGAAAGGGTACTGTGTGTTCAGAGACGGGACAAATTCAGAGAGGCTGGAGCACAGTGAAATGGGGGGTGTAGGAGATGATGTAGGCAGTGGGTTGTAAGCAGATTATGAAGGACCAGGTGTGCCAAGATACGGTTATATCTTACCCTGTAGGCAGTGGGGAGTCAACAGAGGGGACTAAAAGCATCTTTGATTTGGGGAGTATGCTAGTTGCTAATTTGCACAGGACCCAACGAAGTACAGCTGCAATGGTGGCGGGGGGGGGGGGCGGTCTCTGAATTTGAGGCTGTGGCAATGGCACAAGGGATTTTGAACATGTGAATTAAGTAGCAGCAGGATGGAGAGGAAGCCAAATGGAAGAGGCGTGCCTGAGAAGATAGACAGGGTTTGGTAATTAATCAGATGTGGAGAGGTGAAAGAGAGTTGGGTTCGAGCATGAATCTAAGCTTGGGCAACAGGATGATGGTGTACCATTATCCAGAATAGATGATATGCATTTGGGGTCAGAAGGCTAGAACTTGATCACTGAACTGAGATCACTGATCACTGAACTAAGATCAGCTTAGTTTAAGGTGCCTTTGGGTCATTTATATGCTGAAAGTCAAAAATACAAGTCTGGAACTTAGGACAGAGGTCTGGGTCGGAGCAAGTGGTTTGGGAGTCATCAGCATACATCTTGGGCAAGAATGTCATCTCCCAGGGAGACTCTAGAGAGTGAGGTGGTACAGCGTCAGCGTTTCAGGGGGTAGCATTAAAAAGGACCTGAGGGGTAAACTGATCTTAGATGATCTTTGGATCAGAGCTTTGCAAAAAGACAGATCTGACTTCTTCACTGTAATCTTTGATAAGTTAGCCATTTTGAGCCTCAGTTGCCAGTTTTTTAAAGGGAGAAAATACTTGCCTCACAACCTTGTAAGTATTAAATTAAAAGCGATAAATGTAGCAGCCCTAGCACGTAGTAGCTATTGCCCCTTCTATCTCCCCTTTAGTAAGAGCAGCTTCCATAGACCAGTGGAAGATGAATCCCAGTTTTAATGAGAAGAATGAACACATTGGACACATTGCATCAGCAAATATAGGGTCCTTTTTTTCAGGAATTTTGGTGGTAAGAACAGATGAGGATAGAGTCAGGGCAGACGAGGGAGAGTTACACCTGTTGGTGGTAGAAGGGGAAGAGGTGTTACAGGAGAGCACAGGGTGGGCATTGGTTGTTCTGCAGATGGCAGGTGGTGCTGACCACAGAGGAGGGGAGGAGAGCCTTTCTTCCCAAGGCACCGAAGCACATGGGGTCCAAGGCAGAGGAGTGGGAGCTGCTGAGAGTGGAGAAAGTGGGAGTGGGGTAGGCTTGTTCTAGACCCCTGTGGGCACAGGGGAAAGCATACCCGTCCTAATCCAGCCAGGAGGTGATGGTGGAGGGCATGAGGTGACTAGTTTGGGAGCTCAGGATGGGTACCTCAGAACACTGCCCCATACCCCTCACCCCACCCCAGATGACACAGCAGGTGACCTTGGTTTTCCTCTGGGTAGACAGGGACACCTGCCTTGGAACAGGATGGTAAATGTTTTAGTCTAAATTTCTCCTTCTCAGGGAAAGTTCCCCAAGGGTGACAAAGCTGAGGATGGCTTCCATGGAGTCTCCCCAGTGAATGCTTTCCCCCCACAGAATAACTATGGTAAGATTTCCTTTCACATTGCTGTCAACACTCACAAATTGTTTGGTGGGATCATTCTGTTGATCAATGAGGCAGAAAGAAACACCACCAGAGAAGCATTTGCTCCCCTAAAGACTTCATAAGTGGGGGCGGGGGGGGCGGGTACTAGCCAGCCTGGGACTGACCCCCACCCTGCTGTGCTGTAGGGCTCTATGACCTCATGGGCAACGTGTGGGAGTGGACGGCATCACCGTACCCGGCCACTGACCAGGACATGCGTGTCCTCCGGGGGGCATCGTGGATCGACACAGCTGATGGCTCCGCCAACCACCGGGCCCGGGTCACCACCAGGTAAGAAGCCTGGGATCTGGGGGCTGAGGGTCAGGTCCTGGTCTCCCAGAGCACAGACAGCACCAGAGCTGGTGTTGGCACTGCTTCCACACCTCCGTCTGCACCCAGAGTTGGGCACAGAAAAGAGAACAAGCAGCACTTGCCATGAGAAGCAAAAGAGCCCAGGGCGACTTGTGCCTTTTCTTGCCAGCTCTCAGCACCCAGAAAGACTTTGTGTCCCACACCATAAGGTTTTCTTTCTGTTCTTGTCCTCCTAACTGGGTGTGCGGAGACAGGGGGGTAGAATGGCCACATAAATAGGTTATGGCCTGGGGTCATGGAAATACTGACCCTTCAAACTGGAAAGCACATGAAAAGTCATTTTCTGTAACCATTTTGTTTTACCGTCAAGGAAAATTAGGCTCAGGGAGGTGCTGGGACCTGCTCATTTCACACAGATGATTAGTGCTAGCACCTGAGTCTCCTACTGGGACTGTCTCTACACTCTCATCTGTACATTTATTTTGATTGATCTCCCTGTGATTCCTCCCATTACGGGTTCCATAAGGATTGAAAAGAGACCACAGTTTCTGTGGCCTCGGGAAGTCAGGTTTGCAGACGTTTCTTTGACACATTGAGGCCCAAGACTTTCTCTCACCTCCTTTTTTTAGGACAAAGTAATGGAGAAGATATTAGCCTGGGAACCAGGAAGCTGGGTTTGCCACTGAATCTCTTGTGCCCATGAAGCAGTAGTTGGCTCTGGGCAGGATATTTACATCTTTCTAGTATCTGCTGGGTCTCTAAAATGGTGAACAGACCCTCCCTTCCAGAGCTATTGAGAAATGGCAAATGAAGGAGCATATGTGAAAGTTCATTAAAAAGTATGAAGTACTCACTGGCACTACAACATTTTGCTTCTTACTGACAGGATTTTTTGTTTGTTTGTTTGTTTTGACTGAGTTATTCTAAACCACCAGCAGCTAAAGTTACTACTCATTGCCCTTCCTGCCTTCCAGAGCAGATTCTCAGGGCTGTTCACTCACACTTCCTCCACCCTGTCCCAGGGCCCTTCTCCCCATTGCCCCAGGAGCACCCTCACCCCAGGCTTCTTTCTAGATCATGTCCTCCCGCACCCTGGACCACAGCAGGCCCTAGGAGGTAGAGCAGGAAAGTGGAGTAAGACTCCAGACCCCTTTTCAACAAATGTCCATTCTTTCTCCTCTTCTCTGGTGCCAGGATGGGCAACACTCCAGATTCAGCCTCAGACAACCTTGGCTTCCGTTGTGCATCCAGTGCAGGCCGACTGCCTGGGGAGTTGTGAACAGCTATGCAGAGCCAAAGAGAAGAGCCCCATGGTGCCCGTGTCACTCCCTGGCCACGTTCCAGACACAGCCAAACTCCAGACTCTTAAACTTTAGCCTCAGGAACGGCCTCCTACCCCTCTTCCATTCCTCTGTGGCAGGCATCTCTCACCAGGCCAGGAGAGGACTCTAACCTCAGAGGAGGGGTGCCACTGTCTCCTGAAGAAGGGGCCCAACTTATTGATTGTGGCCAAGAGCTGGGTGTTTCTCTTAGAGGTCAGATATTAACTGTATAGGGCCCAGTACTCAAACAATTGGGCCAGAGTGCTCTGAAAGGCACTTTGTTAAAAATTTAAATCAATGTTTGATTCAGGGATCCAACATTGTTTTCTCAAGGCAGAATTTCCCCATTTCTCTTTGTTTTCCAAGCAAATTGCTGTAGAAGGAAAATACTTCTTTCATTCACCTCATTTGTAGTGTTTCACATGCCTCTGAAGGAACCTAATTTCTGCTAACCGTACATAGAATGCAGTAACCAGGCTCTTTAAAGCACAATGTCAGTCTTAAAAGGGTCTAGGGGAGCCGAATTACTTACCAGACAAAACTGTATTGTGAGAGTCACAAAGTAAATGATATTCCAGACAGACAAATACCAGAACCTTCCCTTTCTATTGTTAATCAGATCAGGGCTCCCATATGCCTCTAAACATATGTCCCTAGAAAAGAACCTGCTCCCACGGTGCCACTGGATGTTGTGAGGTCAGTAAAACCTCTTGTGATTGTATATCTCAGACTATTCTCTTTTATCCTCACCCTGGGACCCTAAGAGAAGGGCGCGCAAGCATCTGGAACTCTGGGCCTCCCATGAGAAGAACCTGAGATGGTGCTTACAGCTGGGAAGTAGAGAAGCAGTTCCCCTCTATGGGGACAGGCCCTAACCACACTCACCAACGTGTGATGACGTGTGATGGGAGCGCCCTGCCCTTGTGCAGGGCCTCTGAGAGGGGATGGGGGCCTTGGGTGCAGGGGTTCTGGCCAGGCCCAAGTACCCCGCTCTGGACAGAGGCTTGGACATGATCTCACTCCTTCAACTTCTGTTTCTGTGGCTTTCCCTCCTTGCCCGCCCCCCGCCCCACCTACCCCACCTGCTGGCCCCTCAGTAGTCTTCCTCAGCCAGGGAGAGGAGCACAGCTTTGGGTGTGTTCTCAAAGAGGGCAGCCCGGTTCTGCTGCTGCCCCTTCTTCACCCAGTGGCCATAGATGCGGAAAGCATAGGCATCGATGAGTCGGCGCAGAGGACGGAGGGCATAAGGGTCACGGATGACGATCTCCCGGGTCACCGGCTTCACCCGGCGGTACTGGTAGTAGATCCGCACTGAAGCCAGTACTGTTAGAGCAATCACCTGTGGAAAGCCAGAACTGAGAAGCTGGACCCAGTCCCTGCCGGCCTGTCTCCTTCCCCTTCCAGTGCAGGGAGTCCCTGAGCGTGATTGCTATGAAGCCTTGTGTGCCTACCGCTGGGCCTTTCCTAGTGTTCCCCCTATCATTCCCACCCCTCCGGCATCTGCAGAGATGTGGGCTTTTGGAGCCAGATGGGTGACATCTGTCCTCTCTGATGCCAGAAATTGAGCTGGAGCCATCACAGGGATGGGTGGGAGGGGAAGGGCAGGTGCTCTGGAAACGCTGTGAGTGAAAGGAGTCCCTGGGGGAAGGAAAGGGACTTAGGGGCTTGGACTTGAGTCCTGCCCTGGGTGGGAGGGGAGCTTCAGTACCTTGAACTTGCCCCGGGGGCTGAAGTGACGCACTTCTTCCACCACATACTGCTGGAAGAACGGGTGTGCTAAGGCCTCTTCTGCTGAACAGCGGCCCCGGGGGTTCACCACCAAGAAGCGAGAAACCTGAGAGAATAAGGAAGGGGGAGCTGAAAACATCAAGGCAGGGTCCCCTCCAGCACTTCAGAAGACATAAGGTCTTTCCCAGTAGGGTCCTCCATTCTGTAGCATGATCTGCTTCTCTCCCCCGTGGTGGACTCCCCCTCTCTTGAGCAGAGGAGCCAGAAGGATTGGTCTCTCACCAAGTCCTTCACTGTGTCTGAATAATCATCCCATTCAGGTGAGCCAAACTGGTAGTTGCCACTCATGATCATCCTCAGCATCAGCATCTGTTTCCGGTGCCAGAAGGGTGGGGAGCCAGCCAGCAGGGTGTACATGATGACGCCTGTGCTCCACCTGGTATCAGGTGGAACAGGGAGGAAGGCAGGAGAACTGGCCGTAGCTCCTGCCATTTCCTCCCCTCCCCAGCCAGGTGCTCTTAGCCACGGGGGCATCCCTGCCCTTCTGGGTCACTTCCCAACATACTTACATGTCCACTTCCTTCCCGTAACCTGGGTGGTCATCATTCATGGAGCATTCAATGATCTCAGGGGCCAGGTAACTGGGGGTCCCACAGACCTCTGCAGAAATAGTTACATTCAGGACAGGTCACCAGGGGGCACTTGGAAGGGGGAAGATCCAAAGAAAAAAAATGTAGACAAAAGCAAAATGGTGCTTGGGCTGGGACTCTTCTAACACTGGCCACCTTCAGAGCCAAGGGCAGGGCCTGGGGGCTGGGTCTGTTGCTTCCTCAGTCACGTCTAGCCATCCCGGCCTGGAACTTAGGTAGTGGGAACCTGGCTCAGCCCTGGGAGGAGGCTTACCTGAGGAGACACCTAGCCCTGAAATGGTAGGATTTTTATTCTGGGAGCGGAAATCAGGGGAGAAATCCAGGCAATCTCTGTTCCTGGGAGCGTGGATGAGAGAGACCCGAGCCCCTGACATGGGCCAAGGCCACGTTACCAGACCTCGCAGCTTCTCTCCTGGCTCCAGCTGGCAGGAAAAACCAAAGTCTGTGAGTTTGATGTTCATGTCATCATCCAAGAGGATGTTCTCAGGCTTCAGATCCCGATGCACAATGTTGAGTTTGTGCAAATTGCAGATTACCTCCAGCAGGGCTCTCATGATCTTTCTGGGGTGGGACAGGCACATGTCACTCTTATCTCCTATTCCGCAGGGCCCGGTAGCAAGCAGGGAGACCAAAGCCCATATACCCACCACACTGCCAGTGTGGGAGGACAGGCTGAGACCATCTAGGCTGAGCCAAAGAGGGAGGGAGGCTACAAAAGCCAGCAGTGCATGCCCCCAGCCCAGACAAATGCATGCTGCTCTCACTCCAAGAGCTTGGTGCCAGTATCGCTAGGACTCTGGGGCAGGGAGTGGCAATAGGGGCAAATGGATCCTCACCTGGTTTCCTTCTCACTCAGAGTGACCTTCTCAGTGAGGTAATCAAAGAGCTCCCCTCTCTTCATCCTGTGGGGATGGCGGGTTTGTATCTGTATGGGTCCCAAGAGCACCCCCTTCTTACCCTACTCCCAGAGACCTGTTTCCTCCCCTCATGTCTCCAGAGACGGAGTGGACCGCTCCCCATGAAGGACCAAGGGCTGCAGGAAGAAGCTGGGGAAGTGAGCAGAGGGGTTGTCTAGGCAGATTAGAAGAAGAGTGGAAACCGAAAGGGTGGGATAGCACGAGGGTGAGTGTCTCCCCCACTGGGGGTGGGATGGCACCAGCCTGAAGGTCCCCCCACCTGTGGAAGCGACACACTGACTGGGATCTATCAGGGCCAAAATCAGAGCTGGGAGGTGAAAGAGGGACCCTGAGCCACTGGCCCAAGGCCCCAGATCCAGATCAGGACAAGAGTGTCCTGATTTTTCCCAGGAATGGACAGTAGAGGCAACAGTGCAGGTGCTGCGAGAGCAAAGTTTGCCTATTTTAGGAGTAAGAATTACAGTTCAATCTTCCCACTTCTTGGAATGATGTAGTAGAAAGAGGTCGCTGCTAAAACAATCTAGTTGTACCCTGGAGGGCAACTCAGGGCAGCATTAAAAATAGCTTCCCTAAGCAACTTCTTCAAAGGTTAGGGATATTTGAGCTGCCCACAAGGGCTCTACAGGGCAGTGTCACCGAGCAGAGCTGGGGACAGCTGCAGCTGGTTAAATCTTGGGCAGCCCTGGGAAAGTCTCCCCTGGTTAAATAGGAAAGGTACATCCTGCTCTCCTCACCCACCCCTCCAGGGAAAGCAGCAGGATTCCTGGGACACAAAGGAATTTGGCCACTGTCATAGAGGCAAGAAAACCCTTGAGCTTAGCTGGTATGGCAGGGAGGGGGGTTCTGTTTGAGGAGACAACTTAGAATTTACAGAGGTGAGCCTTATCTGTACAATATCTGCACTGTGTTCCAGAAAGGCCATGTGTGAATCCAGTTTTTATTATTCTAATTCCATTTTAAAGACACTAGAAGAACTCACTGTTAGCAACATAAGAAAGATTAACCAGTAAACACTGGGGACTGGGCAAGATACAACGGGCTGCTGCCTCATGGACCTGGCAGTTTAATTGTACACACAGGCCAGGTTATACTGTATCTGGAAGAAAATAACCGTACACATATTCAGCATGGCTACAGTATGAAACATTCTAACAAGACAAAACCTACTTGAATAATTTTCTCAAGTAAATCCAGTCCCTAAAATTAGCTATTATGTATGGAGGAATCAAGACACCACACAATGGTGGTGGTTCATGGAGCCTTTAGTGATGACTCAATGGAGTGGGGCGACAAGGAGCTGGACAGTTCCCTTCCCTGGGAAGCCTTTCTGATAAAAATGATAAGTCTGAAAACATTGTTCACAGAGCACTTTGTGTCGTCGAATTCAATACTCAGAGCCTGGTGAGATGGGCACAGTGGTTGTTATCATTTTTCCTTTCTTGAGAAAACAGAGGCCCTCAGAGCTGAAAGGCCCCCTGTGGGCAGTGGACCCTGTGACAAGGAGCTTGTCTCAGTAGCCCTGTTGGTGCAGAAGCAGGGGAATAGTGACACTGATGACGACAGCGATGATGTCAGTCTTTGAGCCACACCCCAAATACATCCTTTACTGCTTGCCTCCCTGGTGGGCGTCTTGCCTCAATACTGCTGGCCTCCTCCTTTCCACTCTTGCCTCCTTATAGTCAGTAGTATGTTTTTCAAAAGTAAGAGGGATGTGTTCATCCCTCCAAAGTCCTTGCCATGGCTGACATGCCTGCAAAATCCGGTCTTCAGTATAGACTGGCCTCACATTCTGCCAACTCCACAAGCTTGCCCCACTCCACCCTGGTTTCCTTGCCAATCCTGGAAGATAAGAAGCCCATCCGGTGGGGCCCTTGCTCTGGCTCTTCCTTCTGTCCTTCGTCTGGAAGGGTCCTTCTCCAGGTCTTGGTTCTGATCCCTCCCTCACTTCATCTGGGCCTCTGCTGAGGTCACCTTCTGGAGAGCATTCCCTGACAACCCCATCTAAAGAAGCCCCACCTCTCTCTAACTCCTGCTCTGCTTTATGCATCTGTACATGTACATAACTATGTGTATGTATCATTGCTTTCTGTTCACTCTCTGTGAAAATCATTACATGAAGTTGGGGACTTTGTCTTGTTCATTGCTATAGCCTCAATGTCCAGAATGAGTATTGAATGACCACCTTCGTCATCGTCATTGTAGTTGATAATTAATAGCATTTACATTGTGCCATTTGCTGTGCTATTATTACTTCTGTAATGCCCATGAGAAAACGGATACTTAAAGAAACCATCTAGCTCATAAGTGGTGGCCCCAGGATTCGAGACCTGGCAGCCTGACCCCGGGGCTGATTGACCTGAAGCATTGGTGATCCTATTTGGCCTCCACAGTGTAGGGAGCTGGCTGTTGGTCTCCAGGAAGCACTGGGTAGGGACCACACTAGGAGGTTCTCCGACAGGCCCCAGGGTGTGGCTGGCTGCAGGACTGGGTACTTACAGATCAAACACCAAGAAGAAGAAAGTGTTGGTCTCATATGTGTCCTTCAGCTGTACTGAAATGGAAATGACTAACTCGTCTCAGGTAGCAGAGGAGCCTGGGCAGAGGCAGCGGGGGGGGGCACAGGGGTGAGGGTACTAAAGCTGCTCCGACTGACTTCAAGAGCCGGAAGGGGTATCAGAACAGTGTTCAAAGGAGTCCCGCTAAGGGAGGGGCCAGCCCGGGACCTTACACCCCCATTCCCTGACCCGCAACCACAGCCAGTTCTGCTTGCAAACCTCTGGCTGGCTGGAAGAGGAGGCTTAGAGCTGAGTCTCCAGGGTGGTGAGGGTGCGGCTGGGAACCTCAAGCCTCAGGGTGCTGGGCTGGCAGGGTCTCCAGGGCAGGAGACACTCTGGGGATCCTGGCTGGCTGCACGGTGGGACCGCACGCACTCCCTGACTTGGGTTATTAGAGCAGAATCATGGTGGAGCACCCTGCTGGGGCCCAGAGACATTACTCACTGATGTTGGGGAGCCCCGAGACCTTGCGCAGGATGTCCACCTCCTTCAGCGTCGCCTCCCGCAGCTCCTGCACCTCCGCAGAGCTGAAGCTGCCCCCGCCGGTGATGTCAATGATCTTCACAGCATACTCCTGGCACGTGGGCTTGTGGATGCAGCGCCTGACGACACTGCTAACTCCTCTGGGGGTGCAGAGTACAGGTGGTCCAGGGGCCCCTCACCCCAGGGAGAATCCCAGGTCCAAGGCACAACAGAGATGTCTTGCCTTATCCACCAACTCCCTAGGAGCTTTTGGGGATGGGGGGACGAAGATGGCAGAGGGAGGGTGATTTGTCTGGAGCTGATGAGTAACGAGCCTGGTCTTAGGACTCTTGATTCCTAGTTTAGTGCTCTTTCTCAGCATCGAGGGCCATCACCTTCCCTCTGACCCCTGATCTCTGACCCTGGTGCAAAGTGGGTTTGGAAGTGCTTGTCAACAGTACTGGGAGAATTCCGCTGGGAGAGGTATATACCCTTCTCATTTGTCCCGGTTCAGGAGAGCAGGACCCCAAACTGAGGGTTTCTCCAAGTGGACAGTGCTTTGGGGATGGGCCCATGGGCCCATGGAACTGGCTGGAGCCTAAGACAGCACTTCCTGGGGCAGGTCTAGGCCTTACCTGCCCAGGATCTCCTTGGGCTCATAGTTCTCATAGAAGCCCTGTGCTGAATACGAGTCTGGCAGTGCCTCGTCCCGGGTCATGCTCAGCTCCTCCGGGGTGATTCTGAGGGGCTCTGAGAGGAGAGATGGAAAGAAGCTGGCAGCTGTCCTGATCTAAGGGATGTGCTCTTTGAGGACTGGAACCCTTTCTCACTCATCTTTGTATCTCCTGGCACAGAACAGGCCTATAGTGGACGTTCAAAATAAATGTGAGTTGAAAAACCCTTTGGAAAGAGCCCAGCTTGCGTCTTCCTGCTGGCTGCAAACTTTTGTGAACCCCAGGCAACCCTGTGGCTCCCTGGATGTTCTCGCTGTAAGTTGCCGCCCCCTGCTGACAGCAGGCCAGGCCTAAGCCCAGGCCAGAGGCAGAAGGTTGGGCCATCAGCCCCAGGGTTAGCTCTGAGGAGGCCAGCACACCCTTGATTTTAGAAAGAACCCCAGAGAAATTTTGCAGAGGACAAATTAAAGGGCTCTCTCTTCTCTTTGAGGAGATGAGGCTAGTCCTGCTTTTCCTCTACTTGTTCTCTGTGCTTGCGGAAAGGTGAGAAGCTTCATGATTTCATCTTCTCAATATGGGGCTCCTAGAGCCTCTCTTTCACCTCCCCCAGTGTAACTGTCCTTCCATGAAAACAGCCCTCCTTCCGGAACACACTTCCAGTGCTTCCCACTGTTCCTTCCTTACTCATTCTGCTCTCAACCAGGACTTTCCTAACCTTTCTTTCCTCCTTTCTTCCTTCCTTCCTTTCTCTCTTTCTTTCTTTCTCTCTTCTTTCTCTCATGCTTTTTGAGAAGCACTCTGCCAGGTGCTCAGAGGGATGCAGAGCTTAATGGGCCCTGCTTCTGCTATCACCTGTCAGTGTGTGGTGTCACCTCCTCCATTAGCCTGATCTCTGGGGTGTCCCAGCCATTCCTCCCTGCCGTGCCCAGTGCTGCTCCCTGGATGTGAGTCAACAGTTGGAGGTATCCCTTTGGCTCAGGGTTCTGATGGCAGGTCGGTTCTATCCTCGGAATGCCCCATGTCCTACCAAATGATGGCCGGTGAGCCCTGAGTGGTCCCGCCACAGTGTGGGGCAGTACAAAGCCAGGATACTCAGGCCTGGACACAGGAGCTGAGCTGGCCAGCTTTGCCTGAGGAATATAAATGTTTATTTATTTTTGAGAGAGAGTGTGAGTGGGGGAAGTACAAGGGGTAAGGTGGGGTGGGGACAGAGAATCCGAGTGGGCTTGGCGCTGACAGCAGAGAGCTTCACACAGGGCTCAAATCCACGAACCATGAGATGAGCCGAAGCTGGACACTCAACCGACTGAGCCACCCAGGCGCCTGAGGAATATAGAGGCCACCATAGTACTAAACTCCTACCTCAGATATAGGATTTGAGGAACAGAGAAAATCATCTACCAACAGGAAGAAGGGCAGATAGAAAATGGGCACAAGTTAACATTCAGCAGGGCCAAAGCTGCCTCTAGCCCCACTTCTACTGCCCTTTCTGGGCCCAGGAAGGCCTGGCCTATCAAATGGGCCAATTTGCTGACCAGCCAAGTAGGGCTAGCTGTTCCAGGAAGCCTGGTGTCCCCACTGCTGGGTGCCTGGTTACCAGAGGAATAATTAGAATAACAACAATCTCTGCCAACAGCAGGCGCCTGGGCTGCTTGCTCACAGGCTTCCCAGTCAGCAGCCCCAACTGAGCACAGAAATGTCTGTTCCTGTAAAAACAAGCCCATTTCCTTGCAGGTCCTTTTAAGTTCCCAAGATGGGTGTCTGCGTCCCCCACCTCCCAAAGCTGGGTAGTGCAGCTCCCAGCCCTTCCCCCAGCCCTCTACAGGCAGAGGATGTGGTGGACCCGTTCCAGGAAGCCATCCCAGCTGGGGGCTCCATTCCCTGGCCTGACCAGCTTCACACACTTCTGGCTGCATTCACCTGTCCTGGGGTGGGGCAAGGGGACCACTCCCTTGCTCTAGGCCTGATTGAGCCACATTTGTGCTTCTGTCCACTGCCTCCCTACCTGCCCTCCCACCCCTGACTCCCCACCTTTCCCAAGACTCCTTTGGAAAGGGTCCCCAGATGGGAGTAGAGAACCTGGTCCTTTTTGGAACAAAACATCCCTCCCCAAAACACGAAGTCTGAAAATACAATAACAGAGAACCCCCTTTCTGTAGGCAAATACCCTGAGGGGGGCTTCAAGAGTCAATGCTGCCACTCTGCATCCAGCTGCCTTCGGAAGAGAAAAGTGGGTCTAATGGCTCTGGAGGTTTCTATCTTCTCTGCTCACAGCCTCTCCCTCTCTGTCTGTTGCCTGGCTTTTGTCCATCACCAGCCCAGCTACTCACTGTTAGGTCCTCTCAGGCCCTTGAGTGAATGTGACAGGAATCCCAAAGGTCTCAGAGCCCCTTGGGGAGAGGGGACAACTGAGGGCTGAAGCAGGTCCTCAGCAGACACTCGTGGCCACAGTAGGATATCTTGCAGCTCGTCCTCCGGGCTTTGCTACTTGGTGACGGAAGCCTGACGTGCCAGAAATAAATCACAACTGCAAACCTGGGATGCAGGCCAAGACTCAGCAGGGGCCAAGTCTCACCAGGAGGTGACCTCTGCTGGACGGTGAGGGAAACTCTGGTGGCCTGAGAGCACACAGGAACAGCATGAGGTGACCAATCTTCCCTCTGGAGCTCCTTTGGCCTCCAGGCCCAGAGGAGATAAAGCCAGCCTTGACGGGAACACATTCACTTCTCTGGGAGCAGTGTCCCTATATGCTGAGAGCAGGGACCTGAGGAAACCCCAGGAGAAACTGGCGCACCCACACTGTAGCCCCAGTGTCCACAGGGGCCCACTCAGGAATGGCTTTTGTGGCTGACCTGCAGAATGCAGACCTTAAAGGTTAAGGAACATCCCCTTCAGCAATCCATCTCTGACCTGCCTCCATGATTTCATCCTTAACCCGTTTAGTTTTCAGCCTGTGGTCTTTTGGGAGGAGGTCCGTGTGCCAGGAAAAGCATATGAGCTCTGACAGGGTGCCCCTTTGGGCTCTTTGAGTGAGGGCCCTCATCAGTATGATTCTACCTTAAGAGGTTGACAGAATTGGAAATAATGTATGCAACATGCTGACACTGACATGTTGCTCTCTCTCATTCTAAAGCTACCTTTTTTCTTTTTTTTTTATTAAAAAAATTTTTTTTAATGTTTATTTATTTTTGAGAGAGAGACAGAATGTGAGCGGGGAGGGGGCAGAGAGAGGGAGACACAGAATCCAAAGCAGGCTCCAGGCTCTGAGCTGTCAGCACAGAGCCCAATGCGGGGCTCGAACCCCCAACCAAGAGATCATGACCTGAGCCGAAGTCGGATGCTTAACCAACTGAGCCACCCAGGTGCCCCTAAAGCTACCTTTTTTCAAACCCCTAATTCTAATATACCAAATGAAGGGAGGGCTACTACAGTGCTTCACCCAGAGGCTGAGCCCACAAGCACCCATTTGATTAGCATTTCACAAAGCACTTGCACATTCTCACTTGGACCCCAAAACTCTGGTATTAAGGCAATTTTAAAGAGAATGTGACTTGCTCAAGGTCATGAAGTAGGAAAGGAAGGCCTAGATGAACCCCAGGTATGGGCCCAAGAGCTCTTTCCTTTATTCATGCTGACCATCTATTTCTTTCACTCCTGGGAGTGAAAAGATTTCTATATAAATGGCTTGATTTCTATGTAAATGGGCACTGGGAAGGACTTTGGGTCTACTACGCATTAAGGCCTCTGCTTAACTGAGATGCAACATCTGGCTCCAATGATGAAAACACCTCAATCTCCTTTCACTTACTGTAAGCTCCCACCTCCTCTTTTTGTGGTCCTGACGCAAAGCTGTAGAGTGGACTTGTGCTTTATACTTTCAATGCTTAACAAAATCCCTTCTGAACTCAGGGCAAAGGGCCAGTGCATCTAGTGGATTATTCCCTGTGCCCATCTCTGTGTAGCCCTGGCTCCTACAAGGGAGAGGCCAGGCCAGCCAGACTCTTGCATTTTATTGATGTCAGTGGTTCATTTTCCTTTGGTTCACTGATTCAACAATAAACTATTTGGCTAGTCACCATATGCCATCGGCCCTTGGACATAAGGGGCATTAACACTATGAACTCACATACTTCCAGGGAAAATGGACAAAGGAGCCCACAGATGAATCCAGAAGCAAATATGCTGGGGTCTTGCCAGTTGTGAACTGTCTGTGGTAATTCAGGCAAGGTGGTCTTGGTCACTTTCAGGAACTCAAGAAGAGTAGGGCATTCTAAGAACACAGCTGAGAACAGGAGGCAGCGGGCAGCAGGCAGCAATTAACTAATCTCAATACCACTTTACTCACAGGTCTCTGAAACTTATAGATGGGGAAAAAAAATCAGCCTTGAAAAGGTGTATTTGGAAGTTGGAAAACTGCAGAGCACAATGTAGACTGGAGGTCAACTCTGAGCGAATGAATTTTTGAGTTGTGAGAAATAGAGCTCAGTTCATTTTTAAAAACGATGCACCCCAAATTGAGTCTATCTCCTTAAGGCAACATGGAGTGGGCAGTTGCAATGAGCTTGAGTCTTTCAAGAAAGGGTAACTACAGTACCTTACACAAGAAAAACATCTGCAGGGGGACTGCAAAAGACAATGGTTTTCATCTCTGACCAATTAATTGGAAAGATCAGCGGTCAGGACATGTACTGACCTGGCCACAGGAATGCACTTGTAATGGGGTTTATTCCTACATTTCCTTTATCACTCAGTCGATTAGAAGTATTATTTTAAACAGTTTCCTGTTACTGCTCAGTTTAAGAGACATTGACCTTCCAACTGGAGCTTTTATTTTTTTTTTTTAGTTTATTTATTTATTTTGAGAGTATGCATGGGAGGGGTAGAGAGGGAGAGATTCCCAGACAGGCCCCATGCTGTCAGCACAGAGCCTGACGCAGGGCTTAATCCCACGAACTGAGATCATAAACTGCACTGAAAACAAGAGTTAGATGCTTAAAACTGACTCAGCCACCCCCCCCACCCCCCCGCCCCCAGAACCCTTTTAACGAGCACTGTTTACTAGTGAGCTACTCCTGACATAACTACTTTTCTACAAAAGCTCCTCAGGGAATTGTCAGGTCCTCCAGGTGGATGCTAATTTACTTTGGTGGTTGTTCATTTATTTTTGAAGTAAAGAGAGACAGAGTGTGAGTAGGGGAGGGGCAGAGAGAGAGGGAGACACAGAATCCGAAATGGGCTCCAGGCTCTGAACGGTCAGCACAGATCCCAACATGGGGCTTGAACTCACAGACCACGAGATCATAACCTGAGCTGAAGTCGGTTGCTTAACCAAGTGAACCACCCAGGAGCCCCAGGTGGATGCTTATTTAATACTGAGACTACAAAGTAAATAAAGACATGTTGAGACAATTGTGTTCTTTTGCAAAATGCGTATGTTCAACACGTATATACTGTACCTAATTTATAATCTTCAAAACCACATCTTAAAAGGTCACTTAAAAGACGCCACATTCCGGGAGAAAATCACTTTATTCTAATTAATTCACAATGTCACAAAAGCTGGTTTAAGGAGGCATACGAACATCTGCCCAGCTCCACACTCAAAACTATCTCACAATGTACTTCTAATGCAGTAAGAACACCTGTTTTCATTCCAATTCTGAAGAAAGCTGTATTTAATGATAGAGGAGAGGTTTAACTGGTGGTTTTACACTTTATTTCTTCACTATCAGTTATATTTTTATGCTAAATTAACTTGGTCATGGGAGATGATTTTCCATATCTTCAACTTGAACTTCTTGATTAGGCTAATCCTGCAAACAGAAAAGGTAAGTTAGAACAATAGCTGTACCTTCTTAGCAAAGCAGAAGCCCTCCAAATGATAATAAGAGGGATAAAAGCCCAAGGTTATCAGTTCATGCCTGAAAATGAAAATAAGCATTTTAATAGATGGTGAATTCTTAGGTTGATAGGAGGAAATTATGTAAAAACAACTTCACTGTCAACATTCTAGACAGCCCAAATATCAGAATTGCACTGAGGGATTTAAAAAACTCTTCTCTCTCAAATCAGGTGTGGGGAATGCCAACAACACATGAGTCTTTATGTCCATTCTTGGACTTCGGTGAAAATGGAATGTAATTTTCTATTCACAGCTTTATGGCTAGATCACTCACATCCTATAACCAGAACAAGATCTGACACACTAATCTATACCCACTTATGGAAGAATGAGATTCAGAACATAACTGGTAAAAGCTTATGACTAGAAACCTCTGGACTAGTCCTTTGTTGGAAGAGTTAGATTATTTTTAGAATAATGTAAACCAAATCTCCTCTAACTTGTCAGATTAATTTATTAAACACAGACTCCCAAAGTTCTCTAGGGTCCAGGAGTACCATGCTGTGAACTGAGCAGATGCAGTTTTTTTTTTTTTCAATATATGAAATTTATTGTCAAATTGATTTCCATACAACACCCAGTGCTCATCCCAAAAGGTGCCCTCCTCAATACCATCACCCACCCTCCCCTCCCCGAGCAGATGCAGTTTTAATCACAGATTGATGCATCACCTACCATTTGCAAATCTGCACTGTTTCAGCACCTCGCTGAAACCTTCACAAAGCTTAAGGTCACCCTGATTCTGGGCACACTCCAGGAACTGTTTCATCTCATAGTGGCAGGGGCCAAACTGCTGCTGGTATGCTGGCTGGGTTCCCTGAGGCTCCTGCAAAGGCATAACATTCAGGACCATTGAGAAAGGAAATTAGATCTAGACCTGAACAAAGAACAGTATCTAATGTCTTTGAGGTCAGCTGGGGAACCATAACTGGAACCAGAATGCAAATTCAAGTGTCCATCTAATAACAATGAAAGTGAAAAACTTTAAGGCAGAAAGCAAATGGGCTTTAACAAAATTCCAGTTATAATCAGAAAGATTCAAGAACAAACATGCAAATAAAGTGAAATGGTTATGTGCCTACCTAAATACCAGTGGGGGGGGGGGGTTCAGTGAAAAGTTTCATGAATGACAAAGTGGAACTATTACAGAAAAATAGATGGATGAGTGTCAAATATACCAGAAACACAACAGAGTATACATTCAAGCCCATCAGAGGAGAAAATTCACATACTTCAAAAAAGAGGGGCAGTGGGCAAATAACAGATAAAAGATCAGAAAACAGCACAGAGCTATTAAAGAGATTTTTAAATACTTAACTAAGATGGAGACTGAATTAGGTAAGAGTCACCAAGACAAATTCCTTAAAATAAGGGGAAAATGGCTGTTTTTCAGTGGATCAGGTTGAACTGCTATTCTACTCCCTGGGAACAAATACAATTTGTACAGTACTTGATGCTGCTGGCCTAAGGCACTAACTCAGCTGCCAATGTGGCTTTTGATAACCCGTTTTCTGTTAACAGCACTGGTTTTTCTCATAATATACCACTGGAAAACAAAATGCATAAAATCCTACCTGGTAAGTGATGTCAGGCC